ACCACGACCTGATAGTGAAGATGACGATATTGTAACGATGGGTATGAATGATGTGAGTGATGGAGCAGGAAGTGGTGGTGATAGTGAGGGTGGCACGGCCCATGTGGCACCATCAGCGGGCCACGCTACTGACTCTGCACAACAACCAGCCTCACCCTACCCCACACTCCCACAACCTGCACCACCACAACCTGCACAACCACAACCACAGTACAATATCCAGACCCCACCAGCAGACCGCATCTGGGATTGGCAGGACGGTGACGAGTTTGTTCCCAGTCCCCATGACTTTGATGAAACACAAAGTGGAATAAAGCCATCTTGTCCACTTGGGAACAATGCCAGTGAACTGGACTGCTTTGAGTTATTCTTCGATGAACCCCTGATGGACATCACTGTCAGGGAAACAAACACATACTCTGATTACACCATGGCAAATACAATTCTCTCACCAAAATCACGGCTACACAAGTGGAAGGAGACAACTGTGGCAGAGATGTACCTGTTTTTGCTACAATAATGCTTATGCCACATGTGTATACGCACACTGTTACCACATACTGGGCAACAGAACGCCTGATTTCAACTCCAGGTTTTAGTGACATTATAGGTGTCAATCGTTTCCTGATACTGTTACGTATGTTACACTTTTCAGACAAAACCAGGCCTGACAGAAGCGACAGGTTATATAAGATCAGAAATGTGTTTATGTACCTGAAACAAAAGTGCTGCATGTATTTTTATCCCTTCAGGAAGCTTGTTATTGATGAGTCTTTGATTTTATTCAAAGGAAGACTCTCATTCAAGCAATATATACCAAGCAAGAGGAAACGCTTTGGTATAAAGCTATTTGTACTGTGTGACTGCAGAAGTGGTCTAGTTTTGGATATCATTGTGTACACTGGCAGTAATACTTTGAGAGATACCATGAAGTTATTGGTATCTCTGGTGATGTGGTTCGAACAATGATGGAACCATATCTTGGTAAGGGGCATATGTTATTTACTGATAACTGGTACACAAGCCCCTTACTCAGTGATTTCTTGCGAGCAAACTTGACAGACGTGTGTGGCACAGTGCGTCGTAATCGTAAACATATGCCAAGGTTCGACGCTGGCACTCGCAGAGGTGAGGTGCAAGCCTTTGCTGCCAATGACATCATGGCATTTCGGTGGCATGACAAACGTGATGTCACATTGTTGACATCAGTTCACAGAAACGAAATGGTACCCAGTGGCAGGGACAACAGAGAGACCAATGAACCCATTCTAAAGCCTGCAGCTGTCATGGACTACAACCTCAACATGCACTTAGTGGACAAATGTGACATGCAGATTGGGTTTGCAGACTGTGTAGCAAGAGTTATAAGTGGTATATATAAACTTTTTTTCCATCTTGTTGATATCTCTATGCTAAATGCTTATAACATATACAAGTTGAAGACCAACAAAACACCAAAATATGGTGAATTTTGCCTGTCAGTAATCAGACAAATAATTGCAAAGTACCAAGGAGCAACTCCTGCAATAGACCACGCCCACACAACGTCATCTCGTTTCAGGCCTGGTGATCACTACCCTATACAACTGCCTCCTACTACTGCCAAGAAAAATGCTCAGAAGAGGTGTTATGTATGTATGCATACCACAAAACGCCCACAAACACGCAGAGACACTCGTTTTATGTGTGAGGAGTGTGAAGTGCCCCCTCTGCATAATACCCATGTTTCAAAGAGTTCCACAAGCTGCAGCAGTTCTAGGAACGTGTTTAGTGACTGTACATATGTATATATATATTATGGAACAATAGTAATAAACATTGTTTTGTATTGTTTGTGTAAACAAAGTGTATACACAAACTAATAGTGATAAAGTTTGCTCTGTTATTGTGTTGTAAACAATGAGTGTATATTTGAAGAATGCACCTTACATTGGTCTCACAGGCCACATAAGTTACCTGGAACAGAAAAATATTGAAAAATGCAAGAAATCTTTGAATTAGAGTAAATAAAAGAATACCGGGTGGGCGGCAGTCGCCGCTGTTGCCGTACGCACGTCACTTTCTGCAAACTTTGCGGCTCTATATCTCGGTAAGTACTGATGGCAAAATTTTTTTATTAGGCTTAAAACACTCACAAACATATTCCTAACATTTTCATAAGAAAAAATAATTTTTTTTTTTCGAATATTTGGCGACATAGAATGACAGTTTCAGAGAGGGGCCTGAAACAGTCAAAGGTTTAAGTATGGAAAGAATGAAGAACTCAAAAGGAACACTATATACAAAACTCAAGAGGGTCACCAAGTAGAATGAAAGGAACACGTAAAAGACCTGGGAATAATTATGTCAGCTGACCTTTCTTTTAAAGGCCATAACAAGACAAAGATCACAACAGCCACGGAGATGGCGGGGTGGGTATTGAGAACGTTGAAAACAAGGGAAATAATGCCGATGGTGGCACTCTTCAAATCACTAGTGCTCCCTCATTTAGAAAATTGCTCAGTGCTAATGGCCCCATTCAAAGCAGGAGAAATATCAGAGCTGGAACAAATACAGAGATCATTTACAGCTCACACTGAGCCAGTAAAGCACCTAAATTACTGAGAATGCCTTCAAGTCTTGAACATGTACTCATTGGAGTGGAGGAGAGAGATGCATGATAATATATACATGTACCTGGAAAGTACTTGAGGGTCTGGTCCCAAATCTGCACACTACCGTAACAACATAGTGGAGTGAGAGATATGGGAGGAAGTGTAAAATAAACCCAGTGAGGAGCAGGGGTGTAGTGGGGACAATAAGGGAACACTGTATCAACATCCGGGGTCCCAGACAATTCAACATCTTACCAGAAGATAGAAACACGGCTGGAACAAGTGTAGAAGCCTTCAAGAGGAAACTGAACAAGTATCTTCACCAAAACAAGGGAAATAATACCAATGGTGACACTCTTCAAATCGCTAGTGCTCCCTCATTTAGAATATTGCTCAGTGCTGATGGCCCCATTCAAAGCAGGAGAAATATCAGAGCTGGAACAACTACAGAGATCGTTTACAGCTCACACTGAGCCAGTCTTGAACAAGTACTCATTGGAGGGGAGGAGAGAAAGATATACATGTGATAATTCATACATGAAAAGTACTCGAGGGCCTGGTCCCAAATCTGGACATTGCCATAAAAACATACTGGAGTGAGAGATATGGGAGGAAGTGTAAAATAAACCCAGTGAGGAGCAGGGGTGCAGTGGGGACAATAAGAGAGCTCTGTATCAACATCCTGGGTACCAGACTGTTTAACATCTTACCTGAAGATACCAAACACTTCTGGAACAAGTGCAGAAGCCTTCAAGAGGAAACTGGACAAGTATCTTCACCAGGTGCCAGATCAACCAGGCTGTGATAGATATGTGGGACAGCAGGCTCCCAGCAGCAACAGCCTGGTTGACCAGGCAAGCACCAGACAAGCCTGGCCCATGGCCAGGCTCCGAGAGTAGTGAAACTCTTGAAACTCTTCAAAGTTATCAAAGGTAAGGTAAGGAGTTCCAGACAAACTTATGACAGGGGCTGCTCCAGTATAGGAGCTTAAGGGTGTCAATCTGGTTGGTATTGTCGGCTAGGGGATTTGTCTTGTAGTGGTGCTGTTATTTATACTTGAGAGGTTTTGGGAGGGGTAATGTAATATGGAGACTTCAGCCTCAGATGGCACCACCTCTGAGTACTGAGTATAATAGGGTATACAATAAATGAGGTGAAAATTTGTATTTATCCCTTATTCTAATGTATTTTTAGTTATACCTTATGCTAATGTATTTTATTTTGTCCCTTTTGCTAATATATTCTCTACTCTTGACAATTGCGTGAATTATTTATGCAAGATTAGAAACAAGGCAGAAAGCACAAGCCGTAAAACGTATGGTAAAACCAACAAAATTAGGGCTTGGTTCTAATTAACACAGAGGTTTAGTAATCCAGGGTAACCCAGTAATGTCAGTGCATCATTGGGACTCTTTTGTCTTTTAATCCTCTCTCTCATTATGATACCCACACTAGTTCATTAACACCTAACACCTAGGTGGTACCTAGTTACTGCTAGGTGAACAGGTCAGCAGATGTAAGGAAACGTACCTAACATCTCACCCATGACAGGGAACCATCCCTATTCCCTCAGTAAGACAAAAAAAAAAATGCTATCAAAAAACGAAGAGCACCCATAAACTTTTGTATTGTTCAGGACATTAAAGAGAAGCCATAAATGGCTCCTGCTGAAGAAGTTACTTGCGGCAAAATATTTTCCCCGTTAAATACCGTAAACAGTAGTCTCTATCAGTATCAATGTTATGAATGAGATGGAGACCCAGGCATTTACTTATATACGGCAATATTGCTTATTATGATTTGACAATTGTGTCAAGTACTAAAACAAGGTTACCAACAAGATCAACTTTATTTAAGTACCTAAAATAGTGAATACAAGTGTAGTGGAAGCGAGTGAGGAGCTGTAGAGAATACTGGTGGTACCGTCCATCACGATCAGCTGACTCTTCCCGCCATTCATGAACACAACATCAACCAACTCACCTTCCATACTACTTCACAAACTCATCCCTATTTAAGCATTCCCTCTTATTTTTCCTCGCCCTAGACCAAAGACAGATAAATAATTTGTTGTAGAGCGAGTGAGAGGAGTGCGATAATTAATAGTGTTGTTTTAGTACATGAGTGAGTAGCTAGTTTGACCAGGCTGTTACTACTACTACGATCAACGGCCATGATGGCATGGCTGCCTACATAAAAACAATCTACACTAATTACCTTCCCCTGCCAAGACTAATCATGATCTAAGTGTTTATGAGTTATGAACCCTAGCCTGGCTTATAAATCCTATTATATATCATACAATTTACAAATTATGCGAAAATATGCGTATTACTGCTAGGTTTTATAAACAATACCACTAAACAATGACATTAAAATGTCAATATAATTAAAGTTACAACTTACATTTTCATTTTCGTCTCTTAAAGTCTTGATTTGCTTGTCTTTGGCTACTAACTGCTCAGCTTGCTGCTGAATTAAATCCAAATGTAGAAGGAGGAGATCTTTGAGATGTTGCACTTCTATATCTTTCCCAATAGATGCTTTCGAGTCCGAGCAGCCTATATACATGTGATCAAATTCTACCGCCATGGTCAGTTTGTTGTCGCTGTTTTGAGAAGTGGTCACAGACGACAGTATATTACAAGCTTCACCTCCCCTCAGGGCCGTCACACCGTCTCTCTGCCTCAGAGAGTCCTCTATAGCATTATCACCGTTATATAGCGCCACTGCCCGGGGCATTTCGATTTCTAGTCACCCACCGAGTCGAAAGCTACTATGTTCTTGCATTATAACAATCCTGGGGTCCACCAGTGATATATAAACGCTCACACGGGCCAAAATACTGATATACGCATCATCTGTGTGTGATCAGCTGCTGGCTATGGCTCATGTTAGCTGCGCCTCACCCACACAACTTAAATTCGCGTCACAATATACCAAACCTTCAGCCATAATCTTCCCACTATGCACTCCATTTGTAATTCTTTGACGCATAAACTCATCTTTAACCTGAGAATTCTCTTAGTTAAATATATTCGCGAAAATGTAAAATTTAGGATAGAGTGACGTCTTGGAGATGTTTGATGGGATTGGCTGCAGCCAAACACAACCGCGGAAATCAATTTAATATCTTTATCTCCTAATACGAAAAACTTACCAGGAAATTGTTATCAATTATTTTGTATTACACTAACAGAGCATAAATTACAAATATGTTATTTCTTTAATATTCTTCATGCTTTAAATATTGCAATCAAATGTTAATGATAATGCTGTGCATCCCATGGACTTTCTGATTATTGTATATTTTGTAAAATGCAGTGATTTCAAACAGTCTAAAATCCGAACAGAGTATATCTTAACCCAGTTAATATTTAACCATGATAAGTTACTTAGTTTAATATCTTTATTATGCACCCCAGCTTTGGCATGCTGCTCTTACCTGTATTTTTTGTACCTCTGTATGTATGCTTAAATTACTAAATAAATAAATAAATAAATAAATAAATCCTGTGGGGGGG